CCCGCCCTTCTGCTCTCGTCCGGCACGGCGGCGGGCGAGCATCAGCGCGTCGCGGGAGGCACCTCCGAGAACGTGACTGCCCGACCACGGGAGCCCTTTGGCCGCCGGGAGCTCCCTAACGCTGCAGAAAATTCAGCTGGGTGGAAAAAAAAGAAGGAGGTGGGGGGGAAAAAAAAAAAAGGAGGACAATTTTGCTGAGAGGCCAGCAGGCAGAAGTAAAGCTATAATTGTGCACACAGTTGAAAGGATTATTGTTTCTGACACCGGTAATCCTTCGTCTTCTGAATTTGGCAAGCCAAGAAGCAAAAGTACTGTAGTCTTTGCTCAGCTTCCCTGGGAGCAGTTGGAGCTCTGTGAGCATCCCAAGGACTACGGGGTTAGAAGCTGCTTCCCCTCCCTGCCCCCTTCTAGTTTAGGCCTGTGATCTGGGCTAAGCAACCAGAGCGGAGGGCTCTAGAGCAAAGTCTCCTGCCCAGAGCAGGCCTCCTTTGAGTTCCGATTTTTGTGCAAAGATCACTGGAGGGGTGGTTTCACAGTCCCTTCATCGCTAATGTGCTGAAATAAACTTCACAGTTATGGCCTAGAATCTCATTCTATCCATTTTGAGTGAGTTTGTTCAGCTGGGGGGGGAAGAGGGGCGCTAGCAGCTCCTGAGACAAAAGTGGAAGTAGCTCCCAGGTGTGAGGGTGCTCATATGTCTGCAGAGTCTTGCTGCAACACTTGGTTATTGCTGTCTTCTGACATCATGGCATCCAGTGCCTTCTCCGTGTGCTGATGGATCACTTTGTCCAAAAGCGAGGCAGTGACAGTGGGATATATTTTCTGTTTTGTAGCTGAGTTTTGTGACTGAGTCACCCTCTTCATTGCATTTGGTTTGGTTTTGGGGTTGCTCAACACCCGCTGATGGATAGGATAATCATAAATTGATAAGTCGTTGGTTATAAACAGCGGTTCTTGCCCTTCGCCAGCTGTTCCCCGGCGCTGGTGCCTTCCCCTCCCTCCGCCCTGGCTGATTATCAACGTACCGTTTTGCTGAGCTACTGGGTTTTGGTTGCTGTTGTTGTTGTTTTTTCGGGTTTTTTTTTCTTTCCTCCCCCCCACCAACCTCAAGTTTTTAATCCCTAAGAGATGCTAATTTGCGAGATGCCTCGGCGGAGGATTGCTATACAAAAGCCCAGCTGGCGCAAGGCGGCGTAAGGCCGCTGCCGCGGGGGCTCGGCGGAGGCGAGGCGGCGCGGGACCCGGCGGGC